ACAAAATTGACAAACTCTTAGCCAGACTCACTAAGAAAAAAAAAAGAGAAGCCTCAGATAAATAAAATTAGAAATGAAAGACAGGCCGGCCCGGTGGCACAGCAGTTAAGTGCGCATGTTCCAATTCAGCGGCCCAGGGTTCCCCGGTTCGCATCCCAGGTGCAAACATGGCACTGCTTGGCACGCCATGCTGTGGTAGGTGTCCCACACATAAAGTAGAGGAAGATGGGCACATGTTAGCTCAGGGCCAGTCTTCCTCAGCAAAAAGAGGAGGATTGGCAGCAGTCAGCTCGGGGCTAATTTTCCTAAAAAAAAAAAAAGGAAAAGAAAAGAAATAAAAGAGGAGAACTTACAAAAGATACCACAGAAATACAAAGGATTATGAGAGAATACTATGAAAAACTGTATGCCAACAAACTGAATAACCCAAAAGAAGTGGGTAAATTCTTAGACTCTTACAACCTCCCACAACTGAAGCAAGAAGAAAGAGAATCTGAATAACCTTGAGGGTATTATGCTAAGTGAGATAAGTCAGAGAGAGAAAATCAAATACCATATGATGTCATTCATAAGTAGAAGATAGAAACAACAAACACACACATAGCAACAGAGATTGGATTGGTAGTTACCAGCAGGGAAGAGGGGGAGGGAAGAGGGCAAAAAGGGTGATTAGGCACAAATGTGTGGTGATGGATTGTAGTTAGGCTTTGGGTGGTGAACATGATGCAATCTACACAAAATTTGAAATATATTACAATGTACACCTGAAACTTATATAATGTTATAATCCAATGTTACTGCAATTAAAAAAAAAAAAAGAATCTTATAGACCAATCACAAGTAAAGAGATTGAAACAGTATTCAAAAACCTCTCAAAAAATAAAAGGCCAGGACCAGATGGCTTCTCTGGAGAATTTTACCAAACACTCAAAGAAGATTTAACACCTATCCTTCTCAACTACTCCAAAAAATTCAAGAATGCAGAACATTTCCTAACACATTTTATGAGACCGACTTCACCTTGATCCCAAAGGCAGACAAAGACAACACAAAGAAGGAAAATTACAGGCCAATATCGCTGATGAACATAGACACAAAAATCCTAAACAAAATATTGGCAAACCGAATACAGCATTATATTAAAAGGAAGATACACCATGATCAAGTAGGATTTATACCAGGGATACAGGGATGGTTCAACATCTACAAATCAATCAGTGTGATATACCACATTAAAATAAGAAATAAAAACCACGTGATCATCTCAATAAACACAGAGAAAGCATTTGACAAGAACCAACATCCATTTATGATAAAAACTCTCAATAAAATGGGTATAGAAGGAAAACGTCCCAACATAATAGAGGTCATATATGACAAACCCACAGCCAGCATCATACTCAGTGGGGAAAAACTGAAAGCCATCCCTCTGAGAACAGGAACAAGACAAGGGTGCCCACTCTCACCACTCTTATTCAACATAGTACTGGAGGTTTTGGCCAGAGCAATTAGGCAAGAAAAAGAAATAAAAGGCATCCAAATTGGCAAGCAACAAGTGAAACTCTTGCTGTTTGCAAACATGTTTTTATACATAGAAAACCCCAAAAAATCCATTGGAAAACTATTAGAAATAATCAACAACTACAGCAAAGCTGCAGGGTATAAAATCAACTTATAAAAAATCAGTTGAATTTCTATACTCTAATAATGAACTAACAGAAAGAGAACTCAGGAATGCAACCCAATTTACAATCACAACAAAAAGAATAAAATATCCAGGAAAATTTAACCAAGGAGGTGAAAGACCTATACACTGAAAACTATAAGACAATATTGAAAGAAATCAAAGATGGCATAAAGAAATGGCAAGATATTCCATGCTCATGGATTGGAAGAATAAACATAGTTAAAATATCCATACTACTTAAAGCAACCTACAGATTCAATGATATCCCAATCAGAATCCCAATGACATTCTTCATGGAAATACAACAAAGAATCCTAAAATTCATATGAGGGAAGAAAAGACCCCAAATAGCTAAAGCAATCCTGAGAAAAAAGAACAAAGCTGGAGACATCACAATCCCTGACTTCAAAATATACTACAAAACTATAGTAATCAAAACAACATGGTACCAGTACAAAAACAGACACACAGACCAATTGAACAGAACTGAAAGCCCAGAAATAAAACCACACATCTATGGACTGCTCATCTTCGACAAAGGGACTAAGAAATTACAATGGAGAAAGTAATGTCTCTTCAATAAATGGTGTTGGAAAACTGGACAGCCAAATGCAAAAGAATGAACACAGACCACCATCTTACACCATACACAAAAATTAACTCAAAATGGATTAAAGACTTGAATGTAAGACATGAAATCATAACACTCCTACAATAAGAGATAGGCAGTACACTCTTTGACGTTGGTCTTAGCAGCATTTTTTCAAATACTGTGTCTACTCAGGCAAGGGAAACAAAAGAAAAAATAAAAAAATGGACTTCATCAGACTAAAGAGCTCCTAAAAAGCAAAGAAAACCAAGAACAAAACAAAAAAATAACCCACCAACTGGGAGAAAATATTTGCAAATCATATATCTGACAAGGAATTAATCTCCAAAATATATAAAGAACTCATACAACTCAACAACAAAAAAAACCAAACAACCTGATCAAAAAATGGGCAGAGGATATGATCAGACATTTTTCCAAAGAAGATATACAGATGGGCAACAGACACATGAAAAGATGTTCAACATCACTAATCATTAGGGAAATGCAAATCAAAACTACAATGAGATATCACCTTACACCTGTTAGAATGGCTGTAATCACCAAGACAAAAAATAAGCAATGTTGGAGAGGATGTGGAGGAAAGGGAACCCTCTTACACTGCTGGTGGAAATGCGAACTGGTAAGCCACTATGGAAAATATTTCTCAAAAAACTAAAAATAGAAATACCATATGACCCTGCTATCCCACTACTGGGTATTTACCCGAAGAATTTGAAATCAACGATCCAAAGAGACATATGCACCCCTATGTTCATTGCAGAATTATTCACAATAGCCAAGACGTGGAAGCAACCCAAGTGCCCATCAACTGATGAGTGGATAAAGAAGATGTGGTATATATATACAATGGAATACTACCCAGCCATAAAAAAAGACAAAATCATCCCTTTTGCAACAACATGGATGGACCTTGAGGGTATTACATTAAGCCAAATAAGCCAGACTGAGGAAGACACTGTATGATTTCACTCAGATGTGGAAGATAAACACATGGACAAAGAGAGCAGACTGGTGGTTACCAGAGGGGAAGGGGCAAAGGGGCACATATATGTGGTGACTGACAAATAATAATGTAGGAACTGAAATTTCACATTATAAACTATTACGACATAAACAAAATAACATTTTTACAAAAATGTTTGATATAGGTCAATGACCTTGTCAAATGTTTTAAAATATTTGTTTGGTTAAGATGGTATAAAATGTAATCACTCCACAATACTCTCACCCTGTACTCACTTACTGAGACATTGTTCACTTTTACTGGTTTAACCACACAGAAATTTGCTAAATAAATTAACTGAATGACATGAAAACAAATGCTGCTAATTATATAACTGAATTCTTTCTTATTACAATTTTTCCACACGATATCTGTCTGTTACCTTCTGTGTCATCACCCTCTGTTCATTTCTTAAAGGAGGTCTCCACTCTAGTCTCTGGGACCTTCTTCCAAGCCTTTGACATGCACTCTCCAAGTTTTGTCCTGGAACTTTCTTAGCCTTTCCAGAAGGTGTCAACGATAGGTTTTGAGGTACCCATTAGGAACACATTTTGAATGGTAATTAAATGCAACCCGTGTGGTACAATCAATATACATAATTTAATATGAACAACCACGATTCAGTTTGCACTCCACTGGAGGGGAGTGATGACATCACCTTCTATTTCAGAGTTGTTAAGCTGAGGAAAAATATGTTTCTTAGAATGGACGAAATTTGGGAAATATGAAACTAGTAGTGATCAGGAGGGAACCCAGCCCAGTAAATGCTGGGTAGATTATCAACACAGGGTCATGTGTGATAGGCCAATACAGGCATCATTTCGGAGCCCACTATGTGATAGCACCGTGTTCAGTGTCTTCTATACATCAGCTTGTCAGTCATCCAACACTGCACTGAATTGGGTAGTTTTATCCTCACATTATAGATGAGGAAATTGAGCTCAGAGATGTTAAGTAATGTGTCCAAGGTCACAAAATTATCAGGTGACAGAACCTAAATATGAACCTGGATGCGTCTGACTCCAGAGTCCATTACATTTCCGTCATGCCAGTTTCCATACTGGCCTCATAGCACCTGAATGTTGACAGTGATTATAGTTGTAATTCACCTGGTCCAGGTATTCCTGAAGGAGTTAAGTCAGAATTTTATGGAGAGGAGAAAGGATTGTCTATAGTGACTGCAACCACAATACGGTGTGAGAACAATACACAAGTGACAAAATAGTGAGCGTACACATATGTAAGTGTATACATACACACAACAACTACCAACTGGTAAGTCAGAGAGTTGTATAGGCTACTTCGGCTTTTTACAGGAAGAAAATAACTCAGGTTTCTATGACCCTCCATTGCACAATGGTTATTTGAGTCTATATTACTTCCTTTGTCATATTATCAAATATCTCCAATGGCCATAGAAGCCCAGGATTTCACCACTTGGCAGTTTCAGGCCAACTATGAGCTATGGACCCAGGACTGTCTGGTTCCACTCACCAAAAGACCATGGTTAGGATCATCAACATACGGCTCAGCTCAAGTATAGACAGCAGCCCTCTGACCACTTCACCCACCTAGTTTAGTTAGAAGAACTCTTTCTAAGTCATGGACCTCAGGTATGAAATAAGAGTAAGGTTTAGTATGGAAATTTTCTTCCTTTGTACACACTTTATTTTCTTTTTTTGTTTCCTTCATAAAAGACTTCACCATGAAAAGGAGGAAGCCCAAACTGAAGTGAGTTAAAAACTTTGTCTCCAAGAGAGGAATGTCGCTTGGCCCCAAGGTAAGGTAAGATATGGTGAGACACATGGATGAGACCATGCTGAGCTACATTGCCACATCCTCTCCTGCCCAGTGTCTCTTTCTTCCTTTCTCTCTTCCTTTTCCACATACTTCACTTTCCAGCCTTTCTTTTCCTCTTTCCCTCTGTGGGAACTCAATGTACCAAAGATACAAAGATGCTAACATTGATCAACTTTTCCAGCTCTCAAGGGAGGACACGAGAACTGATATGAAAGAGTCTGAGCTGACAGGGACAAAAGCATAAGGCATCATAGCTGGAAAAGGAAGTCATTCTGGAAAAGGAAGGGTGAACGGTTGCTGTGATATTGCTTGTAACCCTGACCCTAAGGGTGCTGACCTTTGCTTTCCTTTCTCCTCCACACCCTACTCATAAAAAAATGCCTCTTTTCTAATGATTTTCTTGTCATATTCTAGGAGATCCCCATATATTTAGGCCCCAAAGAATTCAACTGACATTTGAGAACTTGCTGTGTCCTCTGGTTCTCTAAGCCAGCTTCATTGTCTTTCAGCCACCAAGCAACGATGGAATAAATGCCTTGTCCTACTGGATAAGTCATGGAGAAGAGAAAACATAGATGACAATGGGCTATTATGTGCTTTTTTCCTACCATCCAGTCACTGTGAGGATTCTTCCATTGCTCTCTCCTTGGAAACCTTAGGTGGCTAAATAAAGCCTTTTGCACTCAAAGCCTAACCCTCAGAATTCGTCCATCTCCCCTCGCTCATCCTCTCCTCTATACCGTCTTCTACTTCCTCTTTCCTTGTATTATTATTTCCATTCATTTTTTTAAGCAATCACAAACTTACAGAAATATTACAAGACAGTACAAAGAACTTTCTTTCCTTACTTAGTCTTTTGAGACTAATTTGCCACCTTAATGCCCTGTTACCTCCCAAAACTTTAGTTTGTGTTTCCTACAATCAAGGACATTCTCCTACATAGACAAAATATAACCATCAAAACTAGGACTTGAACACCGCACATTACCACATCTAATCCTGAGACCCCATACAGATTTCACCACTTGTTCACGTAATGGCCTGCACAGCTCAAGTTTCCAGGTCAGAATCACTCATTGCATTTAGTTGTCCTGTCTCTTTAGTCTCCTTCAGTCTGAGACAGCGTTGTAGTCTTTCTTTGAATTTCATGGCTTGACATTTTTTAAGATCACAGGCCAGTTATGTTGTAGAATGTCCCTCAATGTGGATCTGTCTGATGTTTCCTAACGATTGCATTCCTGTCATGCATCTTTGGGAGGAACATCACTGAAGGATGCTGCGTGCTTCTCATTGCATCCTCCATGGTGGTACACCATTTTGATTGGTCCCATTACTGACAGTGTTCACTCTTCACTTCATTAAGATGCTGTCTGCGTGGCTTCACTATAAAGTTACCTTTTCCCCCTTTGAAATTATGTTGGTGGACGGTACTTGGAACTATGTAAATATTCTTTTTCTCATCAAACTTTTAATTTATTCATTTATTTATATCAGTATAGATTCTCATGTCTCCTATTTCATTAGATCAATTTCCCCATACGTAACCGGTTGCCCATCTCTTCCACCACCCTCTCTCTCTCACTCGGACACCCTCCTCTCCCTGCTCGGCTCTGATTTCTTACACTGGGCTGCACCTTCCTCTCCTGACAATGGATGCCCTCTTGCCTCCCTTGGGTTCTGAGCCATGGCTCCCACTCCCTAAGTGCAGAGTCTCAGCTAATGGATTTAGGACTAAGTTATTCAGAAAGGGAAGAGAATAGGAAGAGCAAGAGGAAGGACACCCTCTATCTTCTTTGGTTCTCCCTCCTTTTTTCTCTTTCCCATCCTGACCCATCCTGACCTTTCTCATCCTTACCAACTCTCACATCTGTCTTTCCAAGCATTCAAGATAGGATCGAACATCGGGCAATGGCATAAGCTCCACTAGTCAGATTATGAGGGTTTGGTTCCTGGTGTGAGACTTACAAGCTGTGTGATCTCGGGTAAATTACTTTCCTTCTCCAAGCCTCAGTTGCATGGTATACAGAAAGAGCATCCTGATAGTGCTATTTCATAGCATCACCAGAATTAAATTAGATTGTGCATGTAAAGGCTTTATCACCTGCCACATAACAGGCACTAAGTAAATTTTGTTGATTATTGTTTTCCATCCTCTCTGTTTTAGGTGGTGGTGATTGTTGTTTTACCTCTTCCCCCCACCCCCGAATGCTCTTTATTTTGTCTCATTCTTTTTACATTTTGGCTTCTCTGGACTATTTCACTTTCCCGCTCTTCTTGACCCATTTTACTTACCCTATGTTCACGTAAAAGAGGTGCTAAAGGGAGGTATTGAGTTGCCACCAGCAGAAGCTCTGATGGGGGATTCCGACACTCACCGTGCCCAGAGTCATGCTCATAGGACGTCAGGCCATGGTGGTCTCTGCATCCCATGGCCCTGGCTGGGACACCAATTAGAGAGGTTCACTGCTTACCCTTTAGCTTGTACTGGGGGAAAAAAAGTATCTGAGAAAGGACTTAGGTGGAAATATGTACAGTCAGCTACTGCTTGCCAGCTAAGGACCTTCCTTTAAATGGCATGGAGTTTGTGAAGAAGGAAGGGTGATCTTTTGAACATTTAAACAAAATTACACTCTGGGGCCTTGTTCCCTTCTTGGAATCCTGTGATTTCGGTGAAACCAGTGACGTAGAGTCACTGTTGTCTGTTGAAGCAGTTGATTAGACAGATATCCACTATTTACCTCCCAACCAAGAGCTAAGCCTTGGTCATGGGTGAATGGTCAGGAAGAAATGTTATCAGTTTAGTATAGTTTTGATACCCTGCTTATAAAAAAAGATTTGAGAACCCTGCAAAATGGAAAGGATAGTGGTACCATTAATTGGGAAGCCAGAAAAGAATGGTTTGGGGGACTTGGGTCCTACATTTTGAGGCCTCCTAGAGAGGCCTTTCCTAACCACCCTAATTAATTAGTGTTGCCAGCCCCACACCCTAGGCACTTTTTCCTACATGGATCTTCTCTGGTGGCTTTGCAGCTGTTATCATCCAACATTTTTTTTACTTGCTTCCTCTGTTTCCCATAGGGTGAAAGCTTTATGAGGGCAGGAATCTTATCAGTCCTGTTCAACTCTATCTCCAGTGCCTGCCATATCATAGATGTTGATAAAATGGGTTGAATTAGTGAATAAGTGAGGTAACAATTATTATATTAAAATTCCTCTGTATCTGTTCACTGTATTTCCATTTCCTCAATTTGCTGATGTTTTTGTGTAAGCACAATGAAGAAAAGCAACAGGAAGTCTACCACGAGGATCAATGAGCAAGATGCCATCTACGTCCCACGCTCCCAAGATCCAGGAGGGCTTCAGAACATGTTGGACGAAGGAGAGTATGCCCCTTTTGTATCTCCTCCCATATTAGAGAGCAATTTTATCCAGGTAAATAACATTTAAGCACTGACTTATGTTCCAATAACTTCAGTAATTAATTTTCCCAAAGACAACTGAAAAGACTGGGAGGAGAATTGTTGTAATGTGGCAACGGAAGGTATGATACAATTAAAGACAATAGTTCGTAGCTTTAAACAACTTAAAATAATTATAACTTAAAGGAAAAGTATCTCAAGCTTTCTCAACAAATTCTTACCTAGGAATTCTGTCCTAGCTCCAATGTAATTGTCATTCCATCATAATCTTCCCAAAATTACATGAAGAGATTATAGCCATTTTTAGAATATCTTGCCACAGGAAAGCATTCAGATAATTCCTTTCTTAGACTTAGAAGACATTTTAAAGACTGACATGTATGGCAAAATGAGGGATTAAAATGAATTTTGGCTTTTAGTCCTGAAGGTAAAACATAAACGTCAAATTGTGTCAGGGAGAAAAGTTTCCTTCTCATAAAAATGTGCCCACATTATGAATGAAACTACATTTCAGTGCATTTGGGAGCAGCAGTTCTAACTTTCCTCTAAACATTCAACATTAAAATATTCAGACGAAGAAATAGGGAAATGAGTTCAATGGTGTGAGCCACACCCCTAAACTTCATGGAAATGCCACAACCAAGTCTAACAGGAAACAAGCCCATTCAAGAAGCTCCTCGGCTGATTCCACGGAGGGGCAGCAGGGAAAACATCAGGCACTTCTTCCGTCTCCCATAAACATGTGCTCTACCCTGAGACCCAGGTACGAGGGACACCTCATCGCCTCCAGAACACCATAGGTGGGAGGCGATGCCTGGAAGAACGCTAATGTTTAAGTGATGCCTCAGAACACATGGAATCAGTCAGTCATCCTTTGATGTACTTTACCTGACATATGCTTCTTTTCTACTAATAGTCTTATTTGACTTTTCATACTCTTCTTGCACCCTTTTCAAATAACCTTTTGCATGCTCTAATGAGCACTCGGGGAGGTAATTAGCATTCTATAGCCCAGACATGGCCTGATGTGATAATTGGATAAGTTATTCTCATCAACATGCACAACCTCTCATGGCTGGGATGTCTTTGCCAGCAAGTTACCAAGGTTCCTGACTCAACAAGTTTAAATGAAAAAGAACAACAGTTATCTCAGAGAGAGTGAAAGAGCCACAGGGCATCAGCTCACTCGTGGGGAGTCATCGAGGACCCAGGTTCTCTCTTTTTGCTCTATCACCCTCAAGTTAGCTCCTCTCAGGACATCACGTGCAAACAGGACAATGAGAGCTTCCAGCAACAGAAGAGATGCGTCTCATCCTTGCAGCTCTTTGTGAGGCTGAGAAATCCTGTGCCAGAGCCACCGGGAGACCCCCGCTAGTGTCTCATCGGCAGGCCTGGGTCACATGTCCCTGCTGAAAGCAATCACTGGCAAGGGGATGGGATCACCATGACTGGCTTGGGTTAATCAGGATTTAAGCCCTGAGCTGGGGCACCATTCCTCAGGGATGGATACAGAATCCTGTTAATCAGGAAGAAAAGTGGCATGGCTTTGGGTAGGTAATCAATACTATGGGCTCTAACCTCTTTCTTAGTATATTTGTGTTTTTGTTTTGTTTTGTTTTTTATTGAGGTCACATTGGTTTATAACATTACGTAAATTTCAGGTGTACATTATTATACTTTAGTTTCTATATAGACTGCATCATGTTCACCACCAAAACTCTAGTTTCCATCTGTGGCTGTACACATGTGCCCCTTCCCCTTTTGCCCCCCTTACCCACCTCCCCTCCCCTCTGGTAACTACAATCTGCTCTCTGTATCTATGTGCTTATTTGTTTATCTTCCACATATGAGTGAAATCATATGGTATTTGTCTTTCTCTGTCTGCCTTACTTTACCTAGCATAATACACTCATGGTCCATCCATGTTGTCTCAAATGGGACGATCTCATCTTTTTTATGGCTAAATAGTATTCCATTATATATATATATATATATGCCACATTTCCTTTATCCATTCATCTGTTGAGGGGTACGTAGGTTGCTTCCAAGTCTTGGCTATTATGAATAATGCTGCAATGAACACAGGGGTGCATATATCTTTTCCAATTCATGTTTGCAGGTTCTTTGGATAAATATCCAGAAGTGGAATAGCTGGATCACTTGGTAGTTCTATTCTTAATTTTTTGAGAAATCTCCATACTGTTTTTCCACAGTGGCTGCACCAGTTTGCATTCCCACCCGCTGTGAATGAGAGTTCCCTTTTCTCCACGTCTTCTCCAGCACTTGTTATTTCTCATCTTTTTAATAAAAGCCATTCTGATGGGCATGAGGTGATATCTCATTGTAATTTTGATTTGCATTTCCCTAATAATTAGTGATGTTGAACATCTTTTCATGTGCCTGTTGGCCATCTGTATCTCTTTGGAAAAATGTTCATATCCTCTGCCCATGTTTTGATTGAGTTGTTCATTTTTTTTGTTATTCAGTTGTATGAGTTCTTTATATATTTTGGAAATTGACCTCTTGTCAGATATATGATTTGCAAATATTTTCTCCCAGTTGGTGAATTGTCTTTTCGTTTTGTTCATGGTTTCCTTTGCCGTACAGAGGCTTTTTAGTCTAATGGAGTCACATTTGTTCATTTTTTCTTCTGTTTCCCTTGCTTGAGGAGACATGATATTCAAAAAGATACTGCTAAGACCGATGTCAAAGAGCGTACCACCCACGTTTTCTTCTAGAAGTTTTGTGGTTTCAGGTCTTACATTCAAGTCTTTAATCCATTTTGAGTTAATTTTTTTTTGGGGGGGGGGGGAGATTAGCCCTGAGCTAACTACTGCCAATCCTCCTCTTTTTTCTGAGGAAGACTGACCCTGAGCTAACATCTGTTCCCATCTTCTTCTACTTTATATGGGGGACGCCTACCACAGCATGGCATGCCAAGCGGTGCCATGTCCACACCTGGGATCCCAACCAGCAAACCTCGGGCTGCCGAAGTGGTACATGCACACTTAACCACTGTGACACCAGGCCGGCCACCATTTTGAGTTAACTTTTGTGTATGGTGTAAGATAATGGTCTAGTTTCATTCTTTTGCATGTGGCTGTCCAGTTTTCCCAACACCATTTACTGAAGTGACTTTCCTTTCTTTCTCTATTATATGTTCTTGGCTCCTTTGTCAAAAATTGGTTGTCCATAGATGTGTGGTTTTATTTCTGGGCTTTCAGTCCTGTTCCATTGGTCTGTATGTCTGTTTTTGTACTGGTACCATGCTGTTTTGATTACTATAGCTTTGTAGTATATTTTGAAATCAGGGATTGTGAAACCTCCAGCTTTGTTCTTTTTTCTCAGGATTTCTTCGGAAGTATACTTGTTTTTAAGTGATTAATTTTTTTAAACCAGTTAATCTACAGCTGAGAAACCAGGCGTTGCCCCTCTCTGGCTTCCTTCACATCCCTGTCTACCCACTTTCCAGTCTCCTCAACTTCCAACTGGCAGAGATTTTACTGGCCAAGATTCTTGGACTTTGGGGGTTTTGCATATGCTGTGCCTCTGTCTGTAAAGATCTCTTGTCCACCCAGCCAGTTTCTCCCTCACATTGTTCAGGTCTCAGCTAGAGGTCTCTTCTTCAGGGGAGAGTTCTCTGACCCTTTGTCCAGGGTGTGCTGGAGCCAGCCAATGGGCAAGTATTCAGGAAGTTTGCAAGTCAGTTGTTAAACACAGCTACTATTAAAAATTAAATAGTATAAACTTACAAACAAATTATATTCAAAACAAAGGCAACAAATACTCCAAACTCATGATTCCTATTATTTTACTACATTTTACTATTATCTATGTTCTTAAGGTTATGGATTCAAGAGTATGGCAAAGGCCAATGAAGACTTCTGTAAGAATCAATTGGGCATGTGAAATTTAAAATAGAGAGTATTGTATATCATTATTTGTAAATTATGTGCTCCTCATCTTTTATATCAGTAAAATTTATAATACACTTATGTGTATGTATCTTCCAAGAGACAGTCGTTACGCATTTACCAGCATACCGCTGCCTGCAGCCCTCTCTGGGTCAAGTCTCCTGCTATGTTCTTCACAGCACAGCACCCTGAACTTGTACTTGGTAACACTTCTTAAAATAATCATCAATGACATGCTTGTTTGATGTTCACCTTCCCTGGGAGACCCCCAGGGGTCAGGGACTGTGTCTGCCTGTTCGCTGAGATATCTCCAAGAATTCATAAGAACAAGCAACTGCATAAATGGGTCATGGTTCATTTCTCCTTTATTTCCTACACTACTCAGGCAAGCAAGGCTCTCAGGGCCATGCACTGTATCAGAAAACTCCTCTTCCTGTTCTCTGCTCTAGGTCAACAGGAGAGGTGAATCCATTTACCTTCACAACCAAGCCAACTGGGTGACTGTAGCCATCTGCTCTTCCAGTCCCAGCCATGGGACCCCCAACGTGATGCTGCTGGCACATCCGACACCCGCAGCCCGGAAAGATACAGAACCCCTGTTTCAAAGTCTCCTGACATCTCCTTCTCCAGAGAAACTGGTGCTCACCAGGTGAGTTACAAAGGGAAGGGGTTAAGGATCTCTAAGAAGCTATGCTTTACCCCAAGGAGCTGAAAATAGAAGCACCGATGACAGTGGCTCCAAGTAAGCATCTCATTTGTACTGCTTGCTGCAAATGACAAAGAGTCGTGTCCTTAAAGTCTGGGAAAATAGTTTATGACAACCTGGCAGTCAAACAGGCAGTTAATTTTTAAAAAATTAAACCTAAGGAATTGAAGACTCATAATAAACTGCCTCTCTAGAACATGGCCCTCTCCCCTCAGCATCCCAGCTTCCATCAGCATTAGCTCTGGTCTTACCTCAAGCCACTCGCTTGCTGTATGACCTAGAGTGAATCACTCAACTTCTTTAAGTCTCAGCTTTGCATGACTAACTAAATGGGACAACTTCTCATGGTAAATAGTTGATATTCTGATTTTTTAGTTCATGAGAATCTTAGGAGTATGATTTGGGTGAGATGGCCCTCAGGAGCCTGATTACACGTACTAAAAATCAGTCTGGGGTCTCACAAGCAAAGGACCAGACCGGGAACACGGTAGCCACAAGAAGGTACCGCCCCAGCCCTGGCCTTCACCTACCAGGCGGGTCAGGGAGACAAGCCTGTTTTCTGGAGTCTCACTCTTGAGACTGCTGCACCACATGAAAGGAAACGCCATTGACAGTCTCCAATCAGGCCTCCAGATGACATTTGTGTCTTTTTCCAGGTTTCTCCCTCTGCAGTTTGTGACTGTTTCTGTGCACGATGCTGAGAACATGCGCCTCAAAGTAAAGTTGGTGAGTGGCCGAGCCTACTACCTACAGCTCTGTGCCCCTGCGCACGAACAGGACACCTTATTTTGTCAATGGGTGGAACTCATCTCCCTTTTGAATCAGGAGAAAGCCAAAGCTTCCAAAATGTCAGAATTCTCAAGCTTCTCGGAAATCACAAATAGCACAGAGATCACAAGCTCCCTGGACATCATGGATATTGCTGCCTTCACAGCTGTACAGCCCCAACACATGTACACATATATAGACACCGTACATGCCATAGAAAGCATTGATTTCTCAGAATTCACAGACAACACCGATGTCACCGACATCACGGATATTCCAGAAAATGAGGTCACAGAGGTTCCGGATGTAAAAATTGTCACAGAAGTCAGAGACCTCTGTGATGTCACAAACCACGCAGAGGTCACAGAGGTGGTTGAAGGTGATGACATACTAAGGGCCAAGCAGGAGGAGGAGGTATGTGACATGGAAGACTCTCACTCTCTGGTAACTAAGAACAAGAGTGGTAATCAAGATCATGCTTCTTGGTTAGCTACCTGACGTTGATTACCAAAATGCTATGGAATTTACTCTGAGTAACCTAATTTTAATAATGTTAAAGGTTCAGGGATCCCCAAGCCCTGGTGTAAAGGAGTTGTCAGATGTCTCCTGAAATAGGCAGTGTAAAGTAAGGGCTATTTTGAGGTTTAAATGAAATAAAAGTATGCAGTACATTGAAGGATGGGTGAAATTTCAATAGATAAAAGTAAGGACGGAAATAGGAGAATAAAATGCCAAGAAAAAAAGGTGAGTGGCTTTAGAAAAGGCCGGAAAATGGAAAAACACAGAGCCCTATCTAAAAAGGGTTAGTGCAGTTTGGCTGGAGTATAATATACATGGAGAATATTAGGATATATAGGATAGAAAGTTGCTTGGAAACCTTGAATGCCAAATTAAGAAGTGTGGACTTCACTCTCTGGGCAAACCTTAGCCACCAAAGGCTTCCGTCTGAGAGAATGAAGGAGCCATGTTTTTAAAAGATGAATCTGATCACAGGATGGGTTGTAGGTAAAGAGACAAGTTTGAAAACTACTGCTGAAAACCTCCGTGGTCCCACACTAGAAAAATGGCAAAGGACAAGGATAGACATTTCACAGAAGAAGAAACCACTAACGAATATAGTGGAAAAGTTAAACCTTACTAATAATCAAAGAAATGCAAACCTAGGGAAACATTTAACCTATAAAACTGTTAATTAAAAGAATAAAAGCGGTCAATATTAGTAAAGGTGCGGTCAACTTGAAATTCATATAGATTCACGGTAGGGGTGAGAATGGGGGCAAACTTTCCTGAAATCATTATGAATCAAGAACCTAAAAATGTTTACACCCTTTGACTCAGTGATTCCACTTCTAGGAATTTTTCTTAAGGAATTAATCAGACATAGAAATGAAGGTATAGCTATACAGATGTTGATCATATCACATCTATACCATGTTTATGAAAATATGGAAGTAACCTAAACATTCACGACAGGGGATGGATAAACGAATTAAAATCCTTGAAGGGCAGGTACTATACTTATCTTGTTCTGGAGCAACCATAGTAACTGGCAAGATCATAGCCACTCAGTAAATATTTGTTAAATGAATGACTGCTCTGTAGACATTAAAATTGTTGAATTTTTCTTTACTTGGAGAAATGTTCATGTTAAATTTTAAAATTGTTGAAGAATTTTTCTTTACTTGGTGAAATGTTCATGACATAAAGTTGACTAAAAAATGAATATGATCCCTATTATATAAAAATATATTTACATGAACATAGACAATAGAAAGGGAAAAAGTCATATTCATAACGGCAGTTTATTTCTAGATTGTGGGATAACAGACAATTCATGTCTTTTTCTTTACATTTTTCTGAATTTTCTGTTACCTACAATAAAAATAAATTTTAATTAGCAAAAATTTAAGTAGTTTTACATGACTTTTAATTAGATGAGGAAAACGCTTATAATAAGTCATTAGGTGAAAAATGTAGGATACAGAACTGCAATATGATCACAAAGTAAACACATACAAAATAAATAAATGGACAAAAAGAACAGAATGAAATGTGCCATAAGAGTAGTTATTTCTGGCCAGTGGCATCAAGCAAGCAATAATGTTCTTCCTTTCACTTTATATCTTACAGGATTTTCTACATATTCTACAATAACTATGTATACTTGTATTGTCAGAAAAAATGTTTTATCTTTAAGGAAGAAGATTATTGCATGATTTTCAAGGGAATGCAATAGAGGTGACGGACTAGGCAGTGGCAATGAAAGGAAGAGAAGCAGATGCGAGGGATGTTGTGGAGACAGGGTCTCTAGGACCGGCTGGCCAGTTCTCTGAAGCCTGAGAGAGATTCTGAGGAAGGCAGTGAGCAACTAGGAGAAGTGGTGCCTTAACAGAAACCAGGAAATTAGGAAAACGGGAAAGATTTTAGGGCAATAAGTTTTAGACACAGGTTCTGAGCCTTTTGAAAAACAAACTCTTTGTATTCCTATGAACCTCCAACTCCTGTCACCTATTAGACGCTCTTAAATCAAGAGCAACCTCAGACTGCGCAGAAGGTGGCAAAGCGTTTCCAGAAAACTTTCAGGGAGAGGAATGCTGTAATTAAGTACTAATTTTCTTGTGTGAGGTGACACTGGTGTACACGATCACATGAGCTTCTGAATGTGCTGTGTCAGGTGCCCTCACTGGCAGCTCAACGCCCACGTGGCCTCTTCCCAATGGCCATGCAACAGGAAGCCTCACGCCCTCATTCCCGCGCCTGCGTGCTGGAGGGCGCTCAGTGTACATGAATGAAACAACCACTGTTTTAGATCCTGCTCCACAAAGAATCTGTCTCTGTATGCTCGTGTTCTGTTACCTGATTTGCTGCCACTTATTATTTTCAAAGGAAAAACTGGAAAACATTCTGAAGCCTGAGTGTCCACAAGATTCAAAAACAAAGAATGAGTTAAAAGAATCTTCAAACTCTGTCACCATCTCAAACATAACACTGAATTTTGAAGGTGAAAAATGTTTTCATACTACTGTGACTCCAGAGGAAAATGAGACAAATACATCTAAAGAGATGAGCGATAAAACCTCTGAAATAAGGACAACTGATTTTAACAACGTGGCTCTCAAGGCTGCAGATTCCAGGTACGTGAGGCAGGGAAATGCCAGGGAGGCTAAGGCGTGCAGTAATGTAAGTAAATGTTCGCTTTACAGTCCCTGCAACCCGGGCGTTTGCTGAAGACTCTCAGGCACAGATACAGCGTAACTGAAGGACGACAGAGTCAACTCTATCCACACTTGGATCAACCTTGGCGAATTTTTATTTTCACACCATGCATTTGGCATTCTTGGCAATCTGCCTGGTGTCAGCTATGTGTGCAGAAGCAAATAGAATAGAAACAGTGACTACATTTTGGAGTTAGGAGTGTTGCTCTCTAGAGTGATTATCAAGGGTACTACTCCTTTTATCCTTATACTTCTCTATGTTTTCTTCTCTATAGAGCCCTGATTCTTCTCTATGTTTCCAACTAATAACCTAAGAATCCAAATCCAAAATTTTCATAATTTTAATAGCTTGTTTGCAAGCTGAATGTGAGAAAGCATTGTAGTGTTATAAAGACAGAAGTTAATCCAATCATTCTGGAGTAACTTCTAAAAAGAAACCAGAGAAAAATTTAGAGATCTAAATGCTTCTGTTAGCAAGGATGAAAATGAGGAATGTAATGAATTACGTCTAAATTCTTTTTAAATATAAAAAAGGGACAGGAAAAATAAACCAAAAAAGAGAAATAAACTAGAAAAATGTTAAATAATTTGAAGGGCTTAAAAAGAGTTTGGCTGATTCTTCAAAAAGAATGACAAAACAGGCAAATCACTGGACAACTATTTTTTTGAGAAGGATAAAATTGGAAACCTAAAAAGTGTTACATCAACTAATAGGAAGAATAGTAAAATATTATTGAGAAAGATGATATATGAGTTTTCTTTAATAACTGGGAAACTCTAAATTAAATAAATGACTTTAACAAAAATGCAAAGAAGCAAAACAGGCTCCATCAGAAACTGAAAACAGAACAATTTATCCAAGAGTTCCATAAAGAAAAGGACAGTTACGACTTTTACTGGACAGTTTTTCAGCTACTCTAAGAATTATCTCTGTTTCATGTAATGTTTTCTTTTAAATACGGAAAAACGTTTTGTTTTCCTAATCTTACGAAGCAAATAATTTGTCTGGATTGTAAAGCCTGACAAAAACAATGCAAGAAAGAAAATTCTAGATTAATCTTACTTGTGACAATAATTGCTAAATTCCTAGAATCATGGCAGGCAAAATATAGAGAGCTTAATATAAAATTAAAGAAACTGTCAAGGTAAGTCATTATTTAAATATAGAAGAACAGAAAAGTCATGATACTTTACACACATTTGATAGATTTTTATATTCTTAATAAAGACCCACAAAATAGAGAAGAGTTTTTCTTCAACACAGTAAAGAATATTTTTCCAAACCAGAGCCAACATTAGTTATTTTTTTGGTTAAGATTGGCACCTGAGCTAACATCTGTTGCCAATTTTCTTTCTTTCTTTCTTTCTTTCTTTTTGAGGAAGATTAGTCCTGAACTAACTACTGCCAATCCTCCTCTTTTTGCTGAGGAAGCCTGGCCCTGAGCTAACATCCATGCCCATCTTCCTCTACTTTATCCATGGCACGCCTGCCATGGCATGGCTTTGGCCAAGTGGTGCCATGTTCGCACCTGGGATCTAAACTGGCGAACCTTGTGCCACCGAGAAGCGGAACGTGCACACTTAACCGCTGCACCACCGGCCGGCTTTTTCTTTCTTCTTCTCTCCAAACCCCGCCCAGTACATAGCTGTACATGCTAGTTGTGAGTGCCTCTGGTTGTGCTATGTGGGATGCCACCTCAGCATGGCCTGAGGAGCAGTGCCACGTCCTTGCCCAGGATCCAAACCAGTGAAACCCTGGGCCACCGAAGCAGAGCACGCGAACTTAACCTCTTGGCCACGGGGCCAGCCCCAGAGCCAACATTATTTTTAATGAAGAAATTCTAGAAGAGTTCTCCTTAAAACTTGGAACAAATTGAGGATGTTCCCATGAACATTTCTATATAATATAATTTAAGTGGGTCTACGATTGCAAGAGGACAAAGAAGTACAAAGAATAAATATAAGAGATTTTTAAAATCACTCTTTGCAAATGGAAACTAATATTTTGAAAATCATCAAAAATATTAGTTTATAAACAATTTTAGGAAGGTTACAGATTACAAGATAAATTCACAAAAAAATAATTTTGTCTCATGATTTTATTAACAAACCAAAAATGCATTGAAAAAAGAGAACATATTTTCAAAAGCAACAATAAAAATCAAATATTTAGTAAGAGTGATAAGAGCTCTACATACACGGAATTACCAAACTAATGGCAGAAGGAAAAGGCAACACGAATAAGGAAACAAGGTCTCTCTCTGGGCTGATAGATTTAAGATAGGAAAGATGACGAGCCTTCCTAAATTGATTTTTAGATGTAATACAATACCAATTATCTCAATATGGTATCTCACAGAAATCATAAAATTATGTGGAAAAGATAGGGGTAAGAATCTCAAGGAAACTATTGAGGATGGAAAATGGCTCAAGGGGACTTGATCCTATAAAATCTTAAGCCATATTATAATTAAATGGCCATCACAAACACCAATGCAAAGTTTAGAATATAGAAATAAAGCTATAAAAATAGATTGATACGGGTTCAGCAAAAGTCTGGAAAATGTTGGTCAAAGATTCATGCTGTAACACAAAACATTTTCAGATGAGGAAAGAGTAAAATACTTGAAAGCTAACCAAAATCAACCAGAAGCAAATGGAGTGGAGCATTGCCTCAGTTGCAGAGGAAAGATCTTTTCTTGTTGCTGAAGCAACAGAGGAAATTCTCAATGTCAAAGTTTCATTCATTCATTCAGTCGTATTTACTGAGCACCTTCTGTGTGCTAGGCACTGAGGACACAGCCCTGAAAACAATTAAGTCCTTATCTTGTGGAGTGTTTCATTCTAGTGGAGGATATAGATAATGAGCAAATACAATCTTTATGCCAGCTGGCATGTGCTGTGATAAAAAACAATAAAGTAACAGAACAGAGAGTGATTTAAGGAGGGAGGATGGATATTTTTTTAAGTGGTCAGGCACGGCTTCTCCGAGGAAGGGACATTTGAACCAAGATTTGAAGCAAGTGTGGAGCTCTAACAGAAGAGCGTTCCAAGCTGATTGATTGCATAGCAGTTATAAATATCTGCCAAATAAATCATTTTAAGTAACTCAATAAATACATATGTCTATAAATACATAACAACACAATGGGAAAATAATAATAAATAGGTAATCTATAAAGCTTTTACATCCTGTATATAGAGGTAGCTGATAGGAATTTATAAAGGATCCAATTGAAAAATAATTCAAGGTTATGAATAGAAAATTTACTCCAGAAAACAAATAAATACTTAAAAATAGATCAGTCTCACTAATAATTAAAGAAATACAAGCTAAGCCATTACCACTTGGCTTTTCATTAGCTGTTTCTAACACTGAGGGTGTCACTGTAAAGGGGGGGAGGGGAGCTTTCTGCAGAGCGATTCGGCAGTTCACACCGCAAATGGTTACTACCCCTTGATTTACAGGAATGCACATCAAAGAAATAATTCAAAAGGGAAAAAAATAACTTATTTGAACATAGTATTTTGTAATTAAAACCTGTAAGTAATCCAAACAACCACTGGTAGGAGAATGGCGAACTAGGAATCGCACACTAATTTAGTGAAACAGCAGATCCCCATTAGGAAAAGCAATCGGAGAATTTTAATGAAAAGTGCTAATAAGGAAGTATAAACTAGAAAAGTAAAATTTCAAAAAATATGTATACAGTGGTATTATATTTCTACTACAGGATGGGAAGAAACCACAGAGTTTGGGCATAGTTGGTGACTAAAGGAATGGATATTTGTTATAATTGATAGATGTTTCTATTACATTTTTATTGTACAGTTGATTACAGATATAATTTAAAAATCAAACTGATGCTAGGATGCATTAATTGGATGCATTAATTGGATGCATTAATTGTCAGACACAGCAGCTAGAGAAAGAGATTTGCAGCCAGACAACCCTGGGTCAAAATCCTGGCTCTTCTACTCTTACTAGCTGTGTGATCTTAGACAAGTTACTCAATTTGTTTAGGTCTCAGTTTCCTCATTTGTAAAATGGAAATAATACCTACCATGCAGAGTTGTAGGGATTAAATAAGCTGATATTAAAAAGTTCACAATGCCAGGTACATGGTTATCTCTCTAAAAAAAGAATAGACAGGTGAGAATAGGGAGAGAGGGGGAAGGAGGGAGGAAGGAAAGGTTTGGATTCTAGACCAGACCGAACACAAATCTAATGTAGATTTGACTCGTGTTGAATACAGTAAAAAGATGATTCTATACCACACAGGACTTCTGAAGTCATCTTTTCAGTAGACTACCCAGTAAACTGAACCTAGAGAGGAACTGGGGAAAAAGTAAAACTTACTAAATATTTTTAATGCAATAAATAAATTGAGGATGTTTAAATTGAAGAAGAAAATGCTAATAGTTGACAATTACCATCTTCAGTGTATGAGGAAGTCCATAGAAGGCTAAATTTAAAAAGTAGATTTGAAGTAAAAACTATTTTAGCTAAACACGAAGAACTTTATTTTATAGTAAAGTAACACAGCAATCAACCAATAAATAAAAAGCCCAATAAAATAAATGCATATCATTGATTAGATATTAATAAACAGTAGGACTAGTTTCTGAAGGTAGTGGAGTCTTTGTCCCTGGGAGCCTCTCAAAAACAAACATTAAGCCATTTGTCTTGGAGACCTTAGACATTCTCCTGCCAGAGGTCAAGACCCGTGCATGTTTCTTATCTTTTAATCTACTGCTAATGTAATGACAGAAGGCATGGTGAAGTCAAAAATGAGTGTGCTCTGGGGGCTTCCTTAAAGGAGTGTGGTGGAGAAAATGTAAACACACCTGGTATGCTATAAGGTTCTGAGAAATAGAGCAATAAAATATGCAAAGGGCTTGGGACGTATTACATGCTCAGTAAATGACGATTATTGTCACTAATCATTCATTTCCAATAGTGTAGGTAAGAAGAAAGTTGGCTCAGGCTGGCCCGGTGGCATAGTGGTTAAGTTCATGTGCTCTGCTTTGGCAGCCCAGGGTTTGCTGATTCGAATCCTGGGTGCAGACCTACACACTGCTCACCAAGCCATGCTGTGGTGCATCCCACATGCAAAATGGAGGAAGATTGGCACAGACGTTAGCTCAGGACCAATCTTCCTCACAAAAGAGAAAAAAAGGGAAAGACGGAAAGTTGGCTTTCTGTCCAAAACAAAAACAACCTTACTCAAAAATAGCTTAGTAATCTGAGGATTAAGTACTCAAAATTGGCTTTCTTTTTAACATTTCCTCATTAAGTAGGGATTAAGGTAACCAAAGGAATATGGACGATCCTTAGGATATCCACAAGCCTTGAAATCAGAATAATGTTTGCTTCAGCCCCTGGGCTGCTGCATTCCTTGAAATTCTAGAGCCAACTGCCAGCACATTCAAGGTGCTGGTGGATCTTGATTACGATTACGATTACAATACTTTTGGTTATCTGCTCAAGCAAAGCATCGTTAGATAGCTTAGTTTCTATACTAGTCGTTCTCACCGTGTGGCTGGTCAGCAGTATCACCTGGGAACTGGTTAGAGACGTCAATTCTCAGGCCCACCCCATCCTACTGCATCATAAGCTCTGCATTCCATATTGAGTAGACCTCCCGGCGGTTCTAACGCTCGCTCAAGTTTGAGAGCTGTTCTCTTAGGAGAAGCCAACCCTAGGTACAAAGTAGGGTTTAACAAGTATTCCTCTCTTGTGAGGGTTTCTCCTGAGGCTCTATAGCCAAAATAAGGATTCCCCTCTATAGCCACAGGAAAAACTGTCGGCTCAAAATCAAGGGAAACTTCTTCAGGATTTATTCCTATATGACAAGAGCTCTGAAATTTGGATTCAAAAAAGAAAAAATATATAAAAGTTTGGTTCATGTTCAAGAAATTTCCTGCTTCAAGTTGAGGGTGAAGTAGTTGAAATAGAGAAATTACCCCCAGAACACTGACCTATTATTTCTTGATGGTAACCACTGAGTTCTTTCAGTGGAACTACATGACCAGGAGGGCTACTGGTAAACCTGATGTGTTAGAGGAGAAAGAAGGACAAAGATAAAGAAAAAAACCAGGAGAGAGGGAGAGTAAGGAGGGGAAATAGAGCAACCATCAGTCAGATGTAGTGAGAGATGGGAGAAAGGAAGACAAGACCCAGAGGAGCAGAAGCAGGTGCCACTCAGTGGAAAACGTACCTTTTGCTACTATGCACGAGCCTGGCTTTCATAGAACAGTGTAAGTTTTCTAAAAAATAAACAAGATAAAAATAAGTCCATCCGATTTAGCAATCTATCCTAAACAATAATTGATCAGGTCTGATCACTCTGACGTCTCCCTTCTGCTTTATTTCATTCACATGTCTCACATTCTATGTCCTGCCCTTGTCTAAGGCTTCAGAAACACACCACAATTCAAACTCTCGCAAGGTTATCTGTTTAAATCATTTCAACTTCTTCTTTCTTTGCCCTTTTGCACATAATAGGTATCCTGAAGCATTAGATTAGCTTTTTTTGCCTTTGAAAAAACAAAATAATAGACTTTACTTTTTAAAAAGTATTGTTTTAGACTTACAGAATTATTGATCAAATGGTACATAGAGCTCCACACACCTACCCCACTGCCACCTCCCCACTCTCCCACCACCCCAGTGTCCCCTATTATTAACATCTTGCATTAGTGTGGTACATTTGTAACAATTAATGGACAATATTGATACATTATTAAGGATAGTCCCTAGTTTAAAGTTCACTCTTTGTGTTGGACAATTCTGTGGGTTTTGACCCATGCATGGTGACATGTATCCACCATCAAATACAGAATAGTCTCACTTCCCTAAAAATCATCTGAGTCAGATTAGCTCTTATTGGCTTTTCAAAATATGAAAATTATAAGGATAACTTAAATTTTTAGGATGAAAAATGCTCTGCAGGTGCAATGTTTTGTTAGTTTCTCTAATATGATCACTATTAGAAATGATGAGAAAATGAATCCCTATATAAATAGCAAAAACGATAGAATTTTATAGATAAAAAGAATCTTGAAGGTTAGTGAATCCCAAATTTGTCAAGGCCCTGCCCTCAAGTCTTTCAGCTTATATCATTTATATGCTGATTCTACTGAGGAGGAAGAAATAAATAGATAAACAAAGAAAAACAAAGCAAAAAACAAATTTTGGTTCTAAGTAATCCTCTGAAGCCCAATTCAATTAAGTATACATTCTTTTTTATTGCCTGTTTGCATGGGGAACATAATTATCAGCCAGAGCCCAATTTAAGAATGTTCATTATGAATGAAAGATGTCCTATCTAAGAACAGAATGGAATTCACTGATGCTTTATTCTTGGGACATTTGTGGGATTGTCAAGATACTGTGAGAGTGATAAATAAATTCTACATTTTTTTTTCTCCAAGACCGCGGATTTCAGTGACACTTGATAACCCTGTACTTTGGAACAATGAAAAAAAAAAAAATGAAACAATGACCTTGTTGAATATTTTGTCCTCAGATTCATTAGTCTTTAAAATGTAAATTGAACAATTTAAATCTGGACGAGTGAGACTATGGAGACTTCCATATGTCACTTTAAGTCCTTTGGAAATGAAGGATTTACCTTATAAAGCATTTATATTCCTGGGGCTGGTCCAGTGGCTCAGCGGTTAAGTTCACATGTCCCGCTTCTAGGCGGCCCGGGGTTCGCTCGTTTGGAATCCGGATGCAGACATGGCACCACTTGGCAAAAGCCATCCTGTGGTAGGCGTCCCACGTATAAAGTAGAGGAAGATGGGCACAGATGTTAGCTCAGGGCCAGTCTTCCTCAGCATAAAGAGGAGGATTGGCAGTAGTTAGCTCAGGGCTAAGCTTCCTCAAAAAAAAAAAAAAAGCATTTATATTCCTCACACCTTGACAATAGCGCTACTGTGATTCTTCCCTTTGTTTTAAAGAGGATAATGGCAGGCTTTACTTTAATTTATATCTGTTTTTTAGAGTACTTTTACTTGGTATTTCTCAGTCTCTTGATAACTTTATCATTAAGCTCAATCTTCATTTAAATCACCAGACTTATTTGGTGAAGCTCCATGAGCATTTATCTGAAAACATCTCAGAAAATTACTAATTTAACCTTTACTTTGGAAAGATCCATTGTAGAACTCGAATTGTATGTATTTGCCAGACTCCTTAAAATGGGTCATAATTATGTTTTTGTGTATTTGTCTGGGAAGATATTATGTAAGGGTAATTATTCTTCCCAAATGCTTTCTTTACCTCAAACACAGCAATACTTTCAATACCAAAATTGTTATTGAAAATGTGGCCAAGAAACAGATTTGGTGAAAATTAAGTGACTTAAGTTTATGTTTTAGCTTGTCAATGAGGTTAAGAAAATAAGTATTTTAATTTTTGCTATTAATTTTAAAAATCAGGATTGCAAAAAACAAACTTCTTTAGCCAAAGACATTTCTGAAAGTGAAATAGTCTGAAAAACTGACAGTCAGTCTCCTATTTTATCCACTAAGCCATAAGAAATGTAATAACTTGGGCAAATACCGGGGTGTGTTATTCACCTGCAAGATTCCCATGTACTGTCTCCCCATCAGGGCCATAGAGATTGGGGTGAAGAAGCTAGCAGATGTGGGCAACTCATCAGCCCAGGCACCCATCCATTCCAGAATGTACCTCAGGTCTCTCTGAGAGCCTATTTCCCAACACAATTGCCTCTATTTACGTGAAAGCCCTGAGTAGCAGCAGTCAGCTTCTCTCAGTCCCAACCCCAGAAGCGTTTCCAGGGCTGGAGAGACTGCGGGACAGGGATGCCTGCAGCCTCAGTGAGTGAGAGGTGACAGGTACAACAAAAATAGATTACATGTTATTACATACAATTCACTTTTATGGCTTTTACAGGTTGGGTAGCTTGTGTGTTACAGAAATTTAGGTAATTTTACACTAATATGTACTATAATCAATAACACCCTGGGCTTGCTAAACACGTTTCATTACTGCCTACAAAGCATTTAGAGAATGGCCAATTATCTCATACTTAGTAATTCTTTCCTAATGTTTGTGGTTACCCTGGCAAACTTTTGAAATGTGCTGTTTATTTTTACAGGAGCACGAGAACTCATTCAGGTATGGAACAAATGCCCTGCATTTCTTTGTGATCCCTGCTATCCAGCAGTCACCTCTGGGTCCTGGAATAGAGTAGTTAAGAGCTAAGGAATCCAGCTAGATGTTTTCATGCATTCCCTTTCCTGCCTTTCTCCATTCTAAATCCTTCACTGGAGAAACTCTTCCTCACAGCCTTCCTCATGCTGTCTTTCAAGAGGTAGACATCACTTTTTTCTGTGCTGGTAGAGTTCGCTTCCTAGTTCTCTGAATCGGACTCCTTGGGGATCAGCCACTCCCAGGCTAAGGAGAACCCAAACAACAATGGGGCCGCTTATCCTTGAAGATTTGGAAGGGAAGTGGTCCACAGCTAAATTTCTTGGTAAATCTAAATCCACCTAGCCCCTCTTTTCTTATTACTTACATCATTGGCCTCTGCTTTGCTGTCAGGTAATGCCATTTAATGCTTCTTTCAACAGTTTTTTCTTTACGTAGTACCATGTCTCAGGATCTTTAACTTGTAACGCCCTTTTGATGTGGAGGCTGTCGTAGAGGCACCGGTGGAGAGCTCTCCCCTTGCTGACTCCTGACCCATTTCTAAGTCACCATCTAACCTAGGGGGTGGAATAAACTCAGCTCCAGTCATGCACAGAAAAGAACATCATGGAAGGAACATAGAGGATATTTCACTGGACTTAAGTGGAGAGAAAAAAAAATACATCCATTTTAAAAACCAAGAACACTTGAAGGCATTTTTAGTCACATTTGCAAGAGTCCGACAAAAAAAAGCAAATTATTAGAGGAGAGGTGTTTATACAAATGGTATCTATCTTTGAGGCTTACTTCTGGGCTTTAGTGTCCAAAAGACCAGATGAACTTCACTGTACTGTAGCTTTACCTATATTCCAATCTAAAGTATTGAACATGGAAACGTGTAGGGAAATGCTATCATAGTTTATAAGAAAAATGCAAAATCTCCTTTGCAGTAGATAGAATTTCCATCTATCAATTTTCATCTATCATCCATTAATCTACCCCAAATTTTATTTCAAAAAGAAATCAAAGTAAATTTCCAGAAATTCCAGGGATGTCCAACTTGCAAATATTTCCCTCTTATTTTCTAAAGGCAAGGATATATCTAGCAGCAGCCTTATCACTAACACATAATTAGTGCCTTAGCATATAATCAGTACATTCTACATATATTCTGAAGCACTTGTTATTCAAGCCATGGAAATTTAAAATTAGTGTAGGACATCAATGCTTTTATTTTCATCCTATACATGACTGATTCTTTCACCTGTCTTCTGGCACAAACTCAATTTTGTTCAACTGAACAAGCATTCAATTCCTATCTATTATATGAGGCATTATGGCAGGCTCTGGGAGAGATTAAAAACAAATAAATAACAGAACATTACCTGGCCTGAAAATGTATGCACAATTAACATAAATCGGAATGTTACAGGTGCTTTAAAAGTGGAGAACCTAGTTTTAGCTCAAGAGAGAAAATCGTGAAAGATTCTATGAAGGAGGCAGCCTTTGAGTCAGGAAAAGAGAAACAAGAATAGCCCGGATATAGGGAACGGTGCGAACAAAGTCAAAGGGATAGAACCATTCTGGGTATGTTCAATTTAGGAGTAGTGAGAGAAGCACCTGGAGAGCAAGGCAGCAGCCAGATTAAGGAGGTCTCAGGCCGTGCTAAGGAGACGGGATAGTACTTCTTGGTAGGTAAGGAGGAGCCGCTGAAACATGGCTAAATGATGACATAGTGTTACGTTTTCGGACGATGGGTCTGACTGCAATCTCTAAGAGGAGCTGGAGGAGGCTAGAGGTAGGAAGCCATTGTAATAGTCCAGGGTAAGAGCCGTCTTCCAGTCTAACGAGTCTACAGTCTAACCAGGCAAGACACCGCCAGACGGAAGCAAGGACACGAATATACAGTCAACAAGATTTATTGACTAACTACCTGTAGGGACAAGAGAATAAAAACTGAGGATGACAGAGTTTGGGAGACAACATGACTAGGAGGTAGTGGGTCCATGAAACAAGCTAGGAAACGGAATCGGAGGAAATTTGGAAGGAAAAGATGAAGAATTCAGCTATTCAACACTGAACTCAGAATCAAAAGTCCTAGGTTTGAGTTCTAACTGCACTTCCTCTGTTCCATGAACGTGTCTTTTAATCTCTCTGGGCCTCAGTTTCCTCAACTATCAAATGGGCGTGCGTATGGGTGGGGAATGAGGAGGGCACGATGAGCTGTCCCAAGGCCCTTCCTGCTGTCATGAATTTATAAGCTGATATGTTTGTGGTCCTTGTGGCCCATCTTTTAAAATTTGGCAGGCAGTTTAAGATGGGGCTCTGGAAATGAGGAGCTAAGAAAAGATACAGAAAATATGGAGAAAAAATCCACTCTGAGCTTGTTAAATCACGAGGATGGTACAATGTATAAATTTAGCACGCGATTCTCACAAAGTATTAATTATTTTCTCTGTTTTCTTTCATGTACTTTCTTATTCTTTCTACTTTTCTCTCTTCTATCTTCCCATTTTCCCTTACTTAGGGTTGTATAGTTTTTCCATTTTCCCTCTGATTAGCATTTCTTTCCCCCTTTTCACACTCCTCTGAATCACATCTTTTCCTCCTTTCATAATCTCTTACTCACACTTAACACTCTTTACCCCAAGAAAAGCAAAGATTAGTAGAATCTTAATCCCTTGTCCCATTGAATTTAGACTGAATCTAGACTAAAAACGAGTCTGTCATTCCAATTTCTATTCTAGGCAGAAGCCAGAATATCAATTGCTCCCCACCGTAGTAAAACAAATCCCTGGTACCACGAACCTCATCAGAGTCACATTCACCCAACTCCTGGGCAGTCTAGAGGGGGACCATGGTCTCTAATTCATCTCTCAAACCTCTCAGCAGTTTGGAAGAATTATGCTTGTTCTCCTTTCTGAGTAAGGTTTTGGGTAAAGTGGCTCTTCAAATGTCCTGTTTTTAGGAAAAGGCTACGAAGCAGGGTAGCTTGTCTCTCTGGATCTGAGTCCATCTCTCTCCTTTCTCAACTTTCAATTTCTTATCTTTCTACGCTTTATTCTCCTTCACTTTTCTGATTTCTCTACAGTGAGCCCAAACCATAGGCCTATGTATAATCCTATGGTGTTTTTCCAAAATGGAAAGAAATGAGACGATGGATAGAGATTTGAGAAAAGAAGAAAAGGGAAAATCACTTATGAAATCTGGGCATGTCCTCCCCACCCTACCCAGCTTTCTTGTCTACTTTCCTCTTAACTATTGCTAATGAAATTCCTTGGAATCCTAAGCAGTCAGGTTCATTCTTTGTTTATGAAACCCAGGCTAAAAAGAGAGAGGGTGGAAGGACCTTAAAAGGCAAACTGTTTGTGAAATTTTACAATCGGATCCATTGGAAAAAATAAAGACATTTGTGATGAAGTGGATAGAACATCATTTGCATTTAAGACACAAATTAAGTTCTCTCTCCTTCTGTGCCTTTTTTTCTCTCCTGCTTTTGGCTGTTGTCTTTCTTCTTCACTTTCCCTCTGCCTAATGATCTCTCTTCCACTTTTCCCCACTATTTTTCTTTTTGCCCTCTGGCTCTCTCCCTTCATGTCAAATCCTCCTTTAATTTCTTCAATCTTGCACATCATCTGTCTCCCCCTTTCTCAGGGGAATGAATGTGAGGAAAGGAAGGAAAAGCAGAAACAGAAAAGGTCAATGGAAAAAACATGAAATTATAAGGTAATTTTTATAATTATGTCTCTATAGATATGAAAAACAGACATGACACTTTCACAAAATGTCAATAAACTGAATATTTTAACCTTGCATCTTATTACTTCTATAGTAGTAACAGTAGAGGTGGAATGAATGGAACATTGAGGGTTTTGTTGTGGTTTCTGCTCTAGAATCCATCAAGGGATAAAATGCAACATCAGCACAGGGAGCAGCCAGTGCTTCAGATGAGGCACTGGAAGGGAATTACTGCTGCTCCTTTTACAAGTGATTCCTTTCATTCTCGTTCCTGCTCTTCCTCTTTGCTCCCTCATCACGCTCTTTCACAACCTGCTTTGTTAGATTAGCCAACACAGCCAAGGCCTCTTTCTTTCATACCAAAATTATACAAATATTTATAGAGTGCCCATAGGGCTGCCATGTGCAATTGTGCAGATGGTACACTGCACAGAGCTGGGGGCCTTATTCCCATTGTAGTCTATATGCAGTGCACAACCTGCACAGCTATATGTGGTGGCCACATATATTCTAAACTTCGTTGAGACACTAGTTTTGCACAAATTACTTACGAGTGAAACTTCTCTCACCTACTTCTCCCAACATAGCTGTCACTGTGTATATGTGTGTGTGCATGTGCGTTTAGGGGCTGAGTTCGCAGACATGAAGGGAAGGTTGGTGAACCAGGGGTTGGACTCAGCAGGAACCACATGTCCATCTCATGAGAGTTCTGATGTTGGAATTGAGGTGCCCATACTTCTTTTCAACCTTCTGTCACTCTGCCACCAAAGTCAGCTTAGCACTTGAGCACTTAGTTTATTAAGAACTCTCCTTCCAGAGGCACACCATGGGCCAGAGGTAATGCACCAGAGGAAAACAACGTGGCCACAAAATAACAAATGTCTACACACAATAATCCCCTGGCCTCCACAGATACTCCTTAGTCTATGCCTCTTCTTTTGTCACTTCTTTTCCGTCTTAAGTATGCTCTTAATATTGTTTTATGCTGGTGGACAGTAAAGAGGTGGCACTCAGGGTGACTTGTGCTGGTTCTTACATCCATGCAGGTAAAGTCCCAAGCTTGGACATCTCTCAATATATAAGAGAATTCAGAGAGAGAAATCCCTTTAAAGATAAACTAATATTTTACAATAACTTTATTCTTTGATTGATATATTCTATAATAGTGAAATTTCAAATATTGGGGTCTCATTAAGAGAGATCTGGGGCCAGCCCCGTGGCCGAGTGGTTGGGTTCACACGCTCCACTTAGGCAGCTCAGGGTTTCACAGGTTCGGATCCTGGGCGAGAACATGGCACCATTCATCAAGCCATGCTGAGGCAGCGAACCACATGCCACAACTAAAAGGACCCACAACTAGAATATACAACCATGTACTGGGGGTCTGTGGGGAGAAGAGGAAGAAAAAAAAAAGGAAGATTGGCAACAAAAGTTAGCTCAAGTGCCAATCTTTAAGAAAAAAAAGAGATCTGCAAATCCAACGAAGGGCAAAAATGATGATATACATACCATATTTAAATCTTGACTTCTGAAATTTAAAAAAGGGCTCCCAAATATTTAAATTGTGAATTGCTTATATATGGGAAAAGGTAGATAGTTTTTTTAAATGATGAAAAAAGTTTTGTTACTAATAAAGACTTCATATTATTACAACTGAAATAAAGTGAAAGTTAGTTGGCCCCCATTTACAATGAGCATATGTTACATGTATGTAAATCTCACATACGTGTGACCTATTTTAGGACTCAGTTTAGCATAGATCAAGACCTTGCAAATAACTCAATGACATATCCGTAAGTCTTAAAGAATAAAACCTCACAATCTTAATCTTGATATCTTGATTTATTAGATTCTTACATGGGTAGAAATAGCTTTTAAAAACAAAATTTTAATAAATTAAGAGGTTCCTTTAACATTTCTTCAACCCCTAGATTTAAAAAGTGAGATCTTCTCTGTCTAAAGTATTTTTATTGTTATATTAAGAAGAAAAGCTGTATTATAAATGTAATTTTACTTATTTCCATCCCTTATTTTACTTATATATAGTTTTTAAAAGTTTTATACTTGAGTAATAACTTTAAAAATATTCTGTACTTTAGACTTTTAAATTAATTGAATTGATTTTTCCATCTTTCTTTTTTTGGTCAGATAAATACAAACTACTCAACTGAAAAACAAGCACAGCTCAAGAAACAACCACCAACGCAAGGGAAAAATAAAGCAGTGTCTTCTGTGTGGCAGAAATAAAGGCTACTACTAATCATTAAGCATTTAAATCCATGTCAATCTAGTTTCTTAAATCTTAATTATTGTAATTGTGGATGTCTATTTTAAAGGAAGGTAGAGAACTATACAAAATAATAAGGTTTTCAATTCATAAACTCAATTTTTCTCTGTAGGGCTTCTTTTCTTTGGGATTGTTGGATAAATTTGCTATTCTCTTTGGTTTCACTTTTCTCGTTTGGAAATTAGCCCAAGGCTGTGTTGTTTCTAACACCGGGCACTGTGGGGTCCTTGAAGGCGGGGACCATGTTCTTTCCGTCTTTGTGTTCCAGCTGAGCACCTGGACTGAGAGACAGAATCGATGAATGCCATTTTCAAACAGATTTTTTTAAATCTCAATACTTTTAAAAATAAAAAAGAAACTACATACAGTCTCCATGCAAAGAATAGTTTGGATTTTTAAAAGCCACCACTTATTCATTTTCAAAAGCTGCCAGTCATTCTACAGTGCTTTGCATGCATTCTCAATCTTCACAATACTCTGAGGGGTATTATTACTTTGCTATTCTACAGACAGATGGTGAAAGTGAAGCTTAGAGAAATTAAGTTACTTGTTCAAAATCATACAATTAGAAAAATATATATATATATATCAAATTTCACACAGATAGTACTGGTTTTTCTACTCTGATCTGAGTTGCAACAAGGACTATGTCTCACCTCCATCTTCCTCTTCCTGTCCCACAGATAACCCTCTAGAAGTGGGTGCTCCAATATGGTAGGAACTGGACAAATGTGGCTATTAAGCACTTGAAATGTGGCTAGTGCAACCGAGAAACTGAATTTTAATTTCTTTTAATTTTAATTAAAATTTAAAACTGAAGCAATGTAGAATATTTTTTTCCATTAAACATAAATTTATTGTTTTGGTAAGGCTACATTTTTTTCACTTTAATTGTTAAAAACTTAGCATCCAAATTGAGATATAGTATAAGTTCAAAATACACATCAGATTTATGTCTTGGCATGAAAAAAAGAATAAAATAGTTCATGGATAATTACTATAGTGATAAAGTGTTTAAATTATAATATTTTGGATGTATCAGGTTAAACATTTATAAATTAATTTAACCTATTTCTACTTTTTTAACTGGCTACTAAATTTGTCACAAAATTATATACGTAGCTCACATTCTATTTCTATTGGACAGTGCTGCTCTAGAGGAAAATCTCTACTCATTCCCCTTGGCCCACAGCTCAAGGGGTTCCTCCTCTTCCTTTCTTTGCTGTTCCAAAGATGGAAGGGATTTCTCTCCCAGCTCCACAATCAGGAGAGAAAATAGGAGATTTCCATGCAACCAAGATGAGGTTACCATCGAGGCCATTTTTAAGTTATGAATATATATAAATCAACAGTTTCTAATTTGGAAATGGCCATCTCATTACAGAACATATTTCCTTGGTAGAGATAATCTGGAACAAATTGATTCAGTAGGGAAGAAAGTCACCACTAAGACTGATTATTATTATGCACCCAGTAGCAGAGTCCTTCAAAAGGCAGTGGCAGACCACACCAAGTGTAGGTGACTATGTAGAACAACTAGATCTTTCATACATCAAGGTGCCTCTACAACCACTTTGGAAAACAAGAAGTGTCTTATAAAGGTAAAACACTGTCATATGACCAAACAATTCTACTCTAGGTATTTACTCAAGAAAAATAAAAACATGTTCACAACAAGACATATGTTCAAAACAAGACTCATACACAAATGGTCACAGGAGTTTTACTCATAATAGCCAAAACTTGGAAACAACCCAAATGCTCGACAGGTGACAGGTTCAACAAATCCTGGCACATTCATACAGTGATACTAATTAACAACAAAAAAACAAACTAATAGATGCAACACTGACAATGTAGGTGAATCTTAGAAGCAACCTGTTGAGTGAAAGAAGTCAGATATGAAAAGAATACATACTATATGATTTTATTTAAAAGAACATTTAGAAGGTAAAACTAATTTATACAGATCAGTGATTGTATGGGGTAGGGGTGGGCTGGAGGGTACCGACTACAAAGTGGTATAAGAAAACTCTTTGAGTTGAAGGAAAGTTCTATATCTTGACTGTGGTGGTGGTGATGTTGGTGTATACATTTATCTAACAATACTTTAAAATAGGTGTATTTTATTGCATGCAAATTATACTCCAATAAAATTATTTTTTAAGGCAATACCATATTTTTTTAGAAAAACAGAAATGCGAGGAAGTTCAGCATCAAGTTGCAAATTTTTATTAGGTTTAAACATACACACACACAAACTTGCTTGCCTTTAATAATGTACTGATTTTTTTTTGAAAAGGTTTGTAGTCAAAGAATCCTCATAAATATTCCATAACTGGGTTGTTTAAACCTTCTGCAACATTCATCATTCTTTGTAACTTAAAACACAGGACAGGCTTCTTACATTTTCCATTTAAGTTTCCCTAAGCTTGTTGACTCTTGTACCAGTACTCCTTTATGTTACTTGTCTCCCACATCCTCCTACTGTAAAATAGCTCATGAGATAGCATATTGAATCCTTAGTACAGCAGTGTCCAACAGAATTTCTGTGATTATGAAAGTGCTCAATATCTGTGCTGTCCAGTATGGTCAGCATAGCCTTAGAACACAATTCTTAAGACAACACCACTTATAAGGAAAATATATTCATGACTTCTTCCACTTCAAAACAAAAAACACTTTATACTTTGGAAATCTTTCAATAAAATGAGGATGATATTCCATGCGAATGGATAAATAAGTGGTACATATAAATACCAAATATTAATCTTGAGCATAACTGGCTGTCAAATTAGATGGAATGGCCTGTTAATGTGAGTATTTAAGGAAAATTCAACAAGACACCAAAAAGCTAATTACATGACTTGCAAATGGATGCAGCATTACCTTTCTAGGAAGTAGATTACCTCCACGATATAGATCTAAAGTCAGTCCTTGAATGTTTAATACTTGTTAGAAGAGCCTTTACACATGAACAGGCTCAGACATCAGAAGTGCACATGCATCCTCTGTCACTGCTGCTGCCACAGGACCCCGAGCCACAGGGACAGCTCTCGCCTTCCCTGCCACTGGAAACACTACTGCCACCACTTCGTGGAACCTGGACAAACCCAGGTGTGGATTTTTTGGCTGGAGAGAGAACATGAGTGCTGTAGGAAGGAATCAAATCCCAGAGTCATAAGTTTTAACTTGGAGTGCATTTTCCAATACATTGGTGAAGTTCCATGGGAGCAATATTATAGATCAAATAAGGCCTTTTTGTTTTTGGAATTGGTATAAAAACCTCATCCTCATAACTTGTATGTTATTTGAGAGATCTTCGTACCTTTAAATACGTTAAACAGATCTAGAGTTTGCAGGGGAGAAAGTCTCTGTGGCTCAATGAACACATAATTAAACATCTTACTGGGGAAAAGAAACATGACTTCTGAAAGGGAAGCTCATGCCACAGGCATCTATTAAGGTTCACTGAGGACTAAATTTGTGTGAAGACAAGGGCAACTCTATAGAATTTTAGAGTATGAACTTATTTGAACTTTCCACACGTTTTGACAGTGCGCCATATCAGAAATATTTCACTATGGGTGGAAAGCAGCCCTACTGTAGGATATGGCATTTCTTATGCTCATAAGAAAGGAATGGATAAGGATTTTCTGCAAGAACTGGAGTAGGTTGCAGGTGGGTTTGGGAGTGAGGCAGGCGATATAGCTATTATTAGAGTGAATGTGGACACAGACAATAGATTGTGATGATGCTTTGAACATTATTTGATTTTACCTACCTGATCCTAGTGGTCATTACTTAGAGGGGAGTAACAAGCTCCAAACTCACAGATAAAATATTCCTCACCCTAAACATGCTAACATGATAATTCATTGATGTCTAAAGTACTTATCAAACATTAGATTATCTAGTGGTTTTAAAATATGTCCACAAATACTTGACACTCCTCCCTTCAAGAGATGGAAACTGTTCTCCTTGCTTTGGTGCAGACTGGACTGAGAGGCTTGCTTCAAGCAAGTAAAGCAGCAGTGATGTGGTGTAGCTTTAGAGGCTAGGTCATAAAAAGGCCCTGCAGTTTTTGTCTTGGTTGCTTCTCTCTTGGATCATTTGTCTGGGAGAAGTCAGCTGTCACATCCTAAGAAGAGTTCCACAGGGCAAGGAACTGAGGCCTCTAGCTAACAGCCATATGAGGGATCCTTCTTGGAAGCAGTTCCTAGAGTCCCAGTCATAACTTCAGAGGATTGCAGGCCCAGCTTAACTGTAATTACATCTTAACTGTAACCTCAGGAGAGACCCTGAGCCAGAGCCACCCAGCTAAACTAAGCTCCTGGTTTCCTAACCCACTGAAACTGAGATTACATTTCATGCAATTCTGCATCACAAAATCTCATTTGTCTCTAATTCTACTACTAGAAGAGGCTGTCCTTAAGGGTATATTTTATATGAGAACTTCTAAACATTTTATAAAATAATTACAAGTTTTGGATAACCTTTGAAACAGCTCAGTTTTCTTCATTAAAGCTAATTCAAATGCAATAGAAAAAAGATTGCCCTAACATAGCATAAAGAAAAGGTAACTACCAATCTTCTAATGCTTTACAAGGGGCCAGCTCTTTACACTGCTAAATGCAATCATGTACAAAGATGGTTTTCAAGGAATAATTATTAAAACGTGGTTTTGAATAATAGCTTTGACTTCTTGGTCATCAGCAGACAAGAAGAAACAGGAGGTCCTCAGAGTTTTTGCATATTTTCAAGAGTCTTTAACTATTTTGGAGAGAAGTGTCAAGAGGGCAGTGTAGGCAGACTCTGAACTCATCTCCTCCCACAGACACAACCAATTTACAGCTACTCTGGGCACAATTACCCCTGAGAGAAAACTTAAAACTGAATAAAAGGAACCCCTGCAACAAGGAACAGTCCTGACTGAGGTGGAAGAGGAAGAAATTCCTTTCTGGGGAGAAAAAAAAGCCACTTTTGCAAGCTGTGGCACTTCACGGCCAGCCAGGAGCA